ACCAGGCTTTCTATTGTTATGTGATTCAAATTTTAGTGGGTATTGGAGTCTTAATTGAAATGGTCTTAAAGAGATCAAAATTATGGACCAGAAGAAACGTTGTTGCATTTTTGTTAGCCTGGCACTAGCTGGCCGCTTGAGTGGCACCAACATATTTTGAACAAAGATTTTTTGCTTGCTCAGCGCTCAAGAGGTGGGTTGTTGCTGCCTTATCGCTCGAGCGATAGGGTTATTTGGTCTAAGCCCATTTTAACGCATTTTGAACTCGTACTTGTCTTCAACTTGGTTTTTAAGGTTTTATATGTATAAGCCATGACTTGTATTATTCCCATAAAATTCATATTACATCTTAAGAGTTTTAGATCTTAGTTGAGAATATTAAGATCTTTTTGTAAAATAATTGCTATTGATTATAGTGGATTTTCTCCTTCTCTGCCCATGGTTTTTCCCATCTTAAGTTTCTACATAAATCTTGGTTTTCTCTATTTTATTATTGTCATAATTTTCTAGATAAATTCATAACAAGTGGAATTAGAGTGATTCTGATAATTTGTTTGTTTCTAATAAGTAGTATCAGAGAGAAGGATGACTACTCTGCATGGCAACGACGAAATGTGATATTCCATTATTGGATCAAAATACGAGATATACTTTATGGCAAGTGAAGATACGAGCAATTCTCACATAGATGGATTTGGAGGAAGCCTTGCTTGGCTTTGATAAGATACATTTAACCTAGACACGGGAAGAAAAGCAATGTAGGGATTGGAAAGCCAAATTCCAAATTCATCTACATCTATCAAATCAAATTTTTCTTGATGTTTTCAAGGAGAAGAGTACTGCTACGTTGTGGTTGAAGTTAGAGAAACTTTTTATGATAAAGAGTTTGACCAATAAGCTACACTTGAAGTAACGTTTGTATTCTCACAAGATGTCCGAAGGTGCTTTAATAGATGATCAATTAAATGTGTTCAAAGAAATCATGGTCAATTTAGAGAGGTTAATTATGATGAGGAGGGCTAGGCATTGATGTTGTTGTGCTCACTGTCACTATCATATATGACTTTAGAGGTACTATCCTCTATAGTCTGGATACTCTCAGTGTGGAGGAGGTCTATGATGCATTGCTATCTAAGGAGAAGATGATGCATCTTTCTGTAAGATATGGGAGTCAATTTGAAGGCCTGATCGTTCATGGGGGAAATTAGGATAAAAATCTTAGTAGAAATATGAGGGACATATGGAAATCTAGACATGCAGAAAAGGTGTATCATTAAGAATAAGGGACATATTATGGCTAATTGATAATCTCTGAAAAATAGGAATAGCAGTGCTGGTACTACTGAAAGGGGAAAGCAACCTGTTAACACAATGAAGGCTGATGTTATGGAAGATGGGCAAAGTGAATGAAAGCTTCTTATGATTTTTAATATGGATTCCAAACCTTGTGAGGAATAGTTTCTTAACTCTGCCTGTACTTTCCATATGTGTCCCAATAAGGATTAGTTTACGGATTAGTTTACAACATATAAAAGAGTTTCGAGAAGTGCAGTGATAACGAAAAACAACACGCCTTGTAAAATTGTTGGAGTTGGTCTAGTTAGAATCAGAATGTTTGATGGTGTTATTAGAACACCTACAAATGCTAAGCACGTTCGAAAATTGAAGCAAAATCTCATACTTTAGTCCACTTGACTCAAAGTGCCATAAATACACTGGCGAATGTAAAATTTTGAAGGTGAATCGGGGCACTCTTGTTATCATAAAGGGATAGAAAAACTCTACATAATTGTACATTTTGCAAAGTTTCATAGTTATAGGAGATACACTAGTCTCTACTTCTTCTTTGATTGATGAGGAAGTCATAAAACTTTGGCATATGCGACTTGGACATATAAGTAAGAATGGTATGACAGAGTTGAGTAGGAAGAGACATCTTGATGAGTAGAAGACTAGCAAAATAAAGTTTTGTACACATTGTATCTTTGAAAAAAAAAGGGTTATATTTACTATCGGAAGACATAACATGAGATAAACACTTGAATATATCCATTCAGATCTTAGAGGACCATCCAGGGTACATTCAAGATGAGGTGCATATTATCTTTTAACAGAGATTGATGATTTCTCCAACAAAGTTTGGGTATTCTTCTTGAAATGGAAGAGTGATATGTTTGGAACGTTCAAGAAATGGAAAACAACGATAGAAAAGTAGACTGGAAAGCAAATTAAGCACACCGATAATGGGCTAGATTTTTTTCCAATTGAATTCAATAACTTCTATAGGCTAAGGCATCTTGAGACACTTGACAGTTCTCAAAACTCCTCAACAGAATGGTGTGGTAGAATGGACGAATAGAACTTTAATGAAAAAGGTTTATTGTATGCTTTCAAATTCTGATCTCTCTAAGATTATTTGGGCTGAAGCTCCTGCTATAACTTATTTTTTAATTAATCGCTCACCCTCAATTGCCATTAAGAACAAGACACCTGAAGAGGTATGGCCTGAATAACATTCTTGCTATACTGATTTAAATATTTTTTAGGTATCCTGCTTATGCGTGTGTGGATAATGAGAAGTTGGAGCCTAGGTATATAATGTGTGTATTTCTTAGGTATAAATCGGATGTGAAGGGGTATAAATTGTAGTACCTTAAGACAAGAAATGTGGTGGTTAGTAGATATGTAGTATTTGATGAACTTGCTATGGTTCATGAATTACCTCATGGAGATTCTGATAAAAATGAGAAACAGAATCATTCAACTCAAATGGAGTTAGAAATTGATCCAAGAGAACAAATTGAAATTTTAAAAAGTCCACTACAAAACAGTATAGCTTAGAATCAACAGACAGTAATACTTTGCCTGTACCACTAGCAATACCACACTATTCATTTACTAAGGATAAACTTGATAGACAGATTAGACCTCCACAAAAGTATGGAGAAGCAGGCTTGGTAGCGTATGCTTTGAATATGGCCGAAGAAATTGATTCCACTGAGGAACCTGATACTTATACGAGGTAGTTAATTGCAGTGATTCTAACAGATGGTTGATTGTTATGCAGAAGGAAATAGAGTTATCGAATAAAAATTATCCTTGGGACTTGGTGAAACTACCTAAGTATAAAAGGGTTGATCGCTTCAAATGGATGTTCAAAAATAAAAAAGGAACATCATGAATTGAAGATACTAGGTATAAGGCTAGATTAGTAGCAAATGGCTATAGTCAGAATTCAAGTATTGACTTTACAGATGTGTTCTCACCGGTTGGAAAATATAGTTCAATTCGGGCTTTACTTAGGATAGTGGCAAAAAATGACTTGGAACTTGAACGATGGATGTCAAGATAACATTTTTGTATGGAGAACTTGAAGAGAACATTTACATGTAATAACCAAAGGGTTTCATAGTTTCTAGGAAAGAAGACTGTGTGCATGTTGAAGAAGTTTTTGTATAGACTAAAGCAGTTATCGAGGCAATAGTACAAAAGTAATTATAACAGCTGGGTGTACTTAAAAAATGAAGATGGTTGATTGATCACATATTTGCTATTACATATTGATGATGTGCTCATTGTAGCCAATGATAAAATGGAGGTCAAAAAGATGAAATTTCAACTTAGTAAGGAGATTAAGATGAAGAATTTGGGTACAGTAAAGAAAATTCTTGGTATGAAAATCTTGAGGGATAGAAAAGCTTACAGATTGGTTTTGAGTCAGAAGAGGTAAAAAGGCTGGCAGATTGGATTTAATCAAAAGGTCACAATGAGAAAGTGCTTCAAAGGTTCAATATGTTGAATGCAAAACTGACAGTACTCTCTTGGTTGCCTACTTTAAATTATCAATTGGATTGTGTCCTCAATCAGATGAAGACATTAATTATATGTCTCGAGTTTTTTATTCAAGTGCAGTTGGTTCACTAATGTATACTATGGTTTGTGCAAGACCCGATTTGGTACAGTAGTTAGTATAGTTAGTAGACACATGCCAAATCATAACTAGGAACATTGGAAAGCAGTGTGATGGATATTCAGATGCTTGAAGGGCTCAACTAATGCTTGCTTGCATTTTAGTTTATATACAGTTGGAGTCATTGTATATGTAAATTTAGATTATACAAGGGATCTTAATAGAAAAAGATCACTTACAGGGTATGTGTTTATCCTTGGAGGCTGTGCTATCAGCTAGAAAACTACTTTGCAAAATACAGTAGCATTGTCTACAATAGAGGCAGAATACATGGCCATTACAAAAGCATGTAAGGAGGCTATGTGGTTAAGGGGTTTGATTGGTGAAATTAATGAAGACTTGCAGATTTCTATAGTGTATTATGATAGTCAGAGTGCTATTTTTTTGACTAAGGATCAAATGTTCCATGAAACGACTAAGCATATTAATGGGAGGTATCATTTTGTGTGTGAAGTGATTGCTCTCATGATATTGTAATGAGCAATGTTAATACCAAGGATAATCCTATTGATATGATGACAAAAACTATTTTCCATTGCTAAGTTTGAGCATTGCTTGAATTTAGTTGGTATTTGTCATTGATTTAGTCCATTGAGGCTTGTTTGGAAAATGAGTAGTGTTTGCTTTGGAAATGTGTTTTTGAAATTCCTTGTATTAAAATTTGGTTCAAGGAGGAAATTTGTTGTAACGTAACCCAAAGTTTAGTAGGTATTGGAGTCCTAGTTGAAGTGGTCTTGCAGAGATCAAAATTATGGACAAGGAAAAAAGTCGCCGCATTTTCGCTAGCCTGATGCTAGCTGGCATCTCGAACGGCACCAATATTTTTTGAACAGATACTTTCGCCTATCTGGCACTCAAGCGGCGAGACTGTCGCCCCCTATTGTCCCTCTGTCATTCTAGTGACAGAGTTACCTGGCCCCATCCTTTTTGGCTTTTTAGACTCCTATATTATCTTCAACTTGGTTTCTAAGGTTTTATATATAAAGTACGACTTGTATTGTTCCCATAATATTCATACATCTTAAGAACTTTAAATCTTAGTTGAGAATATAGAGATCTTGTTTTAAACACAATTACTATTGATTATAATGGATTTCCTCCTCTACCCTGTGGTTTTTCCTGTCTTGGATT